CCTTCAGTCTTCTGGAAGGTACATTTATCTGATTTATCTTCATAACCTTCATAATACCTTGCACTTGGCAACGGTTCAGTAAGTCAATCTGTAAATGCTATATTTACAAATGATACCAATGGAGAAGTGAAGGATGGCAAGAGTCTCTCACATATCTTCATCCTCCCTCCACTTACCCCTCATCCACTCATGTAAGAGATATCTGTGGCTTAACTGCTGTATGTTGGGGCCGTACAACAGCCTCATGGTCCAGAAGTCCTATCACACAATACAAAAATAAAAGTGGCTCCTTTAACATCCTCAAAATGCTTGCGTCTTTTAGACACAAATTAGCCCTTCGAAGATCAACGCTAACATTATGATATTGCTCTCAACAGACAAGATTTGGTCATTTTCACAAGAAACCATTTTAATTCATCAATGAGACCCCAAAACAGTCTAATGTCTTAGGACTGCCAAGACTCAAAGGGCATCTTCTCTTATGTCTATTTATATTCCTGTAATTCACGAACATTTACTGACCTCCTACTAAATGCCAAGCACACGAGGGATGCGAAGTGGAAAATGATGACAGTCCTGAGTATGACAGGGGAGATAACACCTAGAACAAACTTTCCAGCATTCACAGGTCCCTGGAAATGGTAAGGTCCAAGAAGCAACCAGGGTCCTTCTTGTAGGAGCTGGAAATTTGAGCTGAGCCCACTCTCTGGAAAACCCAAAAACACGGGCGCCTGGGTGGCTCAGTTGGTTAAGCGTCTGCCTTCGGCTCAGGTCATGATCCCAGGGTCCTGGGATCGAGCCCCACATCGGGCTCCCTGCTCAGCAGGAAGCCTGCTTCTCCCTCTGCCACTCCCCCTGCTTGTGTTCCTGTTCTCGCTGTCTCTCTCTCTGTCAAATAAATAAAATCTTTAAAAAAAAAAAACAAACAAACCCAAAACACTAAACCATTTGCCCTTCTCTTTTGCAGAAGGAGTTGCAGATGGGAAGGAGAAGCTAACACTGTGGACGGGCTTCATTTTTCTCCCAGACAGCAGCCACTCACATCCCCACTGACTATCCATTTCTTCACTTGGATCCCGGCCATGGCCACAAACTCAAGGAGAGAGAGGACATTTCCTTTTCAAAACTAGAAAGAGTCTAAGAGGACACAACACAAAAAAGTATGTTATGAAATACGGTGTCAAAGTCCTTCAGGGTCCTTTGAAAGAATGTTTGATAGATAGAATCCCCCTTTCCAACAATCATGAAGATCCAATTCTCTATGGGAAGGGAACCCAAGTGGGTCACCCAGTGACCCAAACCACCACGGCTTGGAGGGAAAGGTCTGCTTCTTTCTGCTGCACGAGGAAATCCCCCAAAACCACAGCACTCATGAGTTCTCATCTGAGAAACAGTCAACCTGTTCTTAAAAAGGTGTAGCTGCTTAGGTCTACAAAAACCACTCTTACAGAGTATCTATTTGGAATACCTGTAAAATGTTCTTAACATAACTTGACAGTTTTCACCTAATGTTCTAGTAATTTAAAACTTTTAGTGCTCCGTATTGAATGGAGCACTGGGTGTTATACGCAAACAATGAATCATGGAACACTAAAAACAAAAACAAAAACAAAAACAAAAACTTCTAGTGCTCAAGCTCAGGCCAGGATGAAATATTTGTTATTGGACAATGATAAGATAGCACTTTAGCACTGTTTAAGGGCAGTGGTGAAAATTAGAAAATCTGATGCCAGGCAGTTGAGCTGCCTCCTAAGACTTACCAAGGAAATAAACTTTTTACTGCAACACAGTTCCTCAAGGAAATGTCAGTTTTTAGTCACAGTGATGGGGGAGTCCTTCCCCTGGGGCTAGAAAAGGCTGAAGGCTAGTGCACACACACATTTAAGAGACACACTACCAAATTTTAAAAGTTATATTTAATTCACTGTCCTCCAAGTAGTTAATAGAATAATCTTAAAATTCTATTCTACAATACCCACATGTAAATCATTTAACAAAAAGGCAGCATCTGTCCACTAGACTGACATAATTTTTTCCATTAGATAAGATTCTGTCACATTTGTTCGGCAACCACCTTCAGAAGCAAAAGCTAACAGGTGCAAAGACACAATCATGATGCTCTTGAAAAAACTGCAGGGAAACATAAAAGCAAGGTACAGAAATTCAGAGTCATAGCAGGGTTTCTTAAAAGACCTCCCACATCACCATCGGAGAAAATCCAGCAGGAACCACGCCACAGGGACTGAAAACCTAGTTAAGCGGGGAATTTGTCCTCCACTTACTTTCATTCATCAGACATTACATAGACATAACTGCGTGCCAGACACTGTGTTAAACTCAAGAGACAAAGATCACACGCTGTCAATGTGCAGATAGGTTGAGTTTGGTCTCTATCATTCTTTTCTTGCTAATTTAAAAGCCAGGAGATCTCACATCAACATCCAGATACCTGGTTTTGTTTTTTTTTTAAAGATTTTATTTATTTATTTGACAGAGAGGGCGAGAGAGCACAGCAGGGGGAACGTTAGAAGGAGAGGGAGAAGCAGGCCCCCCACCAAGCAGGGAACCCGATGCGGGGCTCAATCCCAGGACGCCAGGATCGCGACCTGAGCCGAAGGCAGACACTCAACCATCTGAGCCACCCAGGCACCCCGAGATATCTGGCTTCTTAAAAAAAAAAAAAAAATTGAGAGATTGCAACATGGGCCCAGGATTCCTTCACTGACAACCTTCAACTGCAACAGAGAAGCAACTGACCCTACAGCAAAGGGCACACTTTCTAGTTTGCCACAGTCTCCACCATGCCCTACTGTCACCCCAACAACACACCCAGAGGTCCACTCATTGATGTCCCTGTCTAGGCCCTGAGGTACTTGGGTTTGTCACTCCCACTCTAGGGGAAAAAAAGGCGGGGGGGAGATAAAAATGGCCCCTGTACTTAAGAAGCTCAGAGTCTGATGAAGTTGGTAGACGTGATGAATTACAACACGGTATGATACAAACTACAGTAGAGGAATAACCAAGGAGCAACAGAAACCCTATGGAAGGATCCACCGAGGGGAGTGGAGGTACCCTGTCATCATCACAGGGGAGAGGACATTTGGGGAGGGTCTTGAGGGCTGAAAAGAGGGTGGTCAGGCAGAAAAGTGGAAGGAAGTCAGTCCACATGTGCACAGAGGTGAAAGGACTAAAAGAATACGGAGTTTTCTGGAGACCGGGTTAGGCAGAGAAAGGACCTACCATGCTAACAATTTTGAATTTATGTCTGGAGCAATGGGGAGCCAAGAGAGCCTTTAAGCAGAAGCTGACATGATCAGATTTGTCCTTTCAGGGAAAGATGCTGACAGCACTGTAGAATATGACCTGGGGCAAAGAAGCTTGCTGGCATGCACCCCTTTGGATGCTAAGGTGAGCCCCTTTGTGTTAGTTTCCAGGTGCTCAGAAACCCTACGTTCTCTGCCCATGATAGATATCTTGGCAAACTCACCTGTTATTTCTTTCACAGACCGGCACGGGTCAAGGAAGTTACCTCTCTTGAACTGGCATAATGAAAATGCTGTAAATTAACATATAATACTGACCTCTGAAAGGGTCAAAATGCAACAGACTAAGTCTCTACAGATTATCTCAATTCCAGTCACCTACCATGTTTCCATTCCCCGCTCACAGTGTTTGTGAGCGGACATAGAAGCTTCTTAACTGTCCTTACGTTTAAATCACTACAAACATGCCCAAGACACCATCCTCAAATACCCTTCAATGAATCAACCACGTTAACTCAAGTTCTGACGCAAGGTCTGAAGGTAAGGAACATGTGGTGGGTTCAAAGGAGAATCATCTTTCTCACTAGCCTCCTGGCACGTCTCCCATGAAACAACAGCACAGAAAAGCCTGGAGCACTGCACAGAAAGAAAATAAGATGGAAAAAACAGACACGTCCTCTCAAAGCAACAAAAATGAAATCGGTTTCCATTTTCTCCCTCAAACGAAACCAAATCTCAAAAAAAAACCAAACCAAAACAAAACAAAAAAAAAAACACTAAGGCAAATCAATGAGAAGAGCTTTAAAAATTGTCTCAGTTATAACAACCCCAAACAGACTATTTCCCAGACTTTTTATTGTTATAACAAACAAAACCATCTTTCACTTCTTGTCATTTGCAATTACCATGCCATAATTGAAAATCAGTGAATCATTATGCAGCTTAGGGGAGAGAGGGGGCCTACTCGCTCTGAGCTGTCTCTGTAATCATCCCAGAATAAAACAACAATATCAAGAGTTCTTTCCTCATTATCTTTAACCTGTGCATTGCAGAGATGCTAAAAACTTTATGCTCTGTAATTCCTCTCATTCCCTAAAGATGGCATGATATTGCAGAGCATTTTCCCCTTCAAAACACTGTTTTTCTCTTCTCCGATGGCCAAGATGAGGCCTGCACCAAAAGACCTCAACATAATTTTTCAATCTATTTATAGGAGCCAAGAATTCAATTAAGAGAAAAATTATCTGGCAAGGGTTTGGACAATTCAGCCAATTAACCCTCGTGGAACTCTGCTGAGAAAAGGACCTGAACCGTTCAACAGAAGGCATCACGAGTCAAAAGGAACAGGCTAAGGCAGGGGCAGGGGTGAAGGATTCCAGAAATCTGGGTCTGGTCGGCCACCCTGCCCCGTTTAGCAAAGCCACACGATGCCCTTGGCCTCCGACCTTTAGGCACAGCTGGAGGGGCCCAGCTCTCTGCTCTGCAAGAGGCTCACTCATGGGCCTCCAAATCTTACCTTGAATGAAAGCGTGCCCGTGTCCTGGACAATGTTTTAAATTTACTGACTCAAAAGGGTCCACAGTGGCACTGCCAAGCTCATTACTTGTGAACAAGCTCTATTTCCATGATCTGACGAAATGGAGCGGTGGTCTCACCCCCTCGGCTGCCCCAAGCCGGACTCTCGCACCCCAGGCCGACGGGCCCTGGCGTCTGGTCAGACCTGGCGCGGTGACTCACCTTGGTTGCCTCTTCTACACTCTCCCTCAGGGCCTGCAGCTCGGCGTCGTACTGCTCCTTCAGCTTGTCCATCTCCAGGTCATGGCTGGAGACCTCTTCCTTCAGGGCTCCCTTCAGGGCGGTGAGTTCACGCTCTCGCTTCCTCAAGAGGTCTTCCTGCTCCTCTTTGGTAATGAGCAGATCTTGAAGATCCTGTTTTGCCTGTAAGAGTTCCTAGAGAGAGGAATCATGAAAGGGGAGGTGAGGGTTAATCACCTTCGCTGAGCGGCCCGGTTGGGGCCAACCGGCCATACTCCCGATCTGTCCTCCGACTCTCTCCTCCCCACACTCCCCACCAGTTTAGACCATCTCCCCATCTTTCTTGTCATTCCTTGGACGCCATCATTCCCCTTGATTTGTCTGTCTCAGCTTTTCTGAGTTTGATTTAATTTGAGGGAAGAAAAAGGGAAACTGATTTCATTTTCATTGCTTTGAAGAGGCACGTCTGCCTTTTCCACCTCCTTTCCTTCCTGTGCAATGAAAGGTCTGTCGCTCTGGCAATGAACGGGCTTTTGCGTGCTGTTGCTTCACCGCGGGACATGCCGACAGGCTGGCCTCACTTACGTCACACCACCCCTGGGACCCGAGGGGCGCGTGGACAAACCCGTAACCCAGGGTCCCAGGACTGACTGACTCCGCCCCTTCTCCTCGGGTCCCGCTCGCCCCTCTGAGCAGGCGCAACACTCCCATCTTCTCCTCGTTAACTGCCAGGAATTCCTGAGGAAAGGCACAAAACCGGGGCAGCAAGTTCCACTACAAATCGCATTCCCTAAACCCAAGTGCGTCCGGCCAAAAGCTCAGCATTCCTTTTAATTCGCCATCTTTGTCCCAGACCGACTGAGCGCTCTCGTCAAGCCCGGACGCCTTCACTTCACGCTGGCGGGACTCGGACTTGGCTGCCTCAGCTTCCTCTCCGCCCCAGCTCTCCTCTGCATGCCCAGCCTTCTCCCACCCGCAGCCGCCTCACACACATCCAGCTGCCCCTCGCCCGACTGCTCCAAGCCTTTCCTCCATCAGTGATCTTTCTTCTGTCATTTTCTTCTCTTCCGTTTCCTTGGAGCTATGTCCTTTTCCTCAGGGCATAAGAATCCACTGGGTCAAAGGCAACAAAATAAAACAAAACAGAAACAAGCTTCTCCACGAAACTTCCTGAAAGTGTAATTTCTGTTGGCTGTGCTTCTTAACCACCTATTCACTCCTTAATCTCTTGCTATATGGCTTTGGATCCTATTGCATGAAGACTGTGCCCTCCAAGGTCATAGGGACCTCTTAATTACCACATCCAGGCTTCTTCCCAGTCCTCAATTTTTCTCGACCCTTCTTTGATCCTCCCCACCCATCTCCTTGAAATTCTCTTTGGCCTTGCAGTTCAAAGACGGTACATGCCTGTTTTCTTCCCTCAGGCTGCTTTTTCTAGACAGTCTTTTCTGGCTTTTCTCTCCCTCTTCCCAAAAGCTAAGATGATCCCCAAGAATGCAACTTTGCATTCTTTATTCTTTTTTGGCAAGCTCATCTATTTTTTCCCGCCATCTATTAACTCTAAGCAAGTAACTCCCAAACCTTTACCTCCAACTCCTGAGTTCAGACCTGCACTTCCAGTGACCTGCCAGACACATCCATCTGGATGTCCCACGGGCATCTCAGATTCAGTAGGTTTATATTTTTTGGTGAATTCATCATGATCCTTCCTTTCCTCCTCCTCCTCCTCCAAAAGTTCTGTAACATCCTTTCCCTCACCTCCCTGGTTTAGGCTCTCCTGTCACCCAACTGCTCCCTGCCACCCAACTGCTCCCTGCATCCAGTCGCTCACCTGGGGCCCCTATGACATTATCCACATGCATCCTCTGTCTCAAGTGCCCTTCTTCCCTCTCAGTCCCGCCTCACTCTCTGCCTCTCAGAAAATCTCTGAAGATGCAGATACAGCAGGACCTTCTCCAAGAATCTCCCTTGAATACCCCTCCTGATACCCATCTCACTTTAGCTATACATCTCAGAGCACGTGATTCTTTTACCTGCAGTCCATTAGACTATTTTCTTTTCTCCTCTGCCAGACTGTCAGCCCCTCGAAAGAAGGATACCGACGTGATCACATTTTTGGTACATGGATCAATGTTATTGGGAATGTGTCTGTTCTGAACATAAATGAATTAACATGTGCAGTACACCAGAAGTCTGCAGATAACAGAATTCTAAACTAGTCTCTCTTTTTCACTGGTGGCTTCTGAGTAAATACACATGCTGTGCTCTTGGAGCTCCTGGGGAATCCGAGGAATGACTGCCACCTGGGGAGCCGAGGCCTCAGAGATGAGAAACTAGTTTCCATTCAAGAAGTATGTCACTCATGAGGGGATGAAAATATAACTGGCAATGGAATCTCTTTCCTTTTCTCTAGTACCTGCACATCCGTTGAACCAGGGGAATCTCTGCAGTCCCAGAGTAGGGCTGCACTGCAGGCACCAAGACTTCACACCTTCCAGAAGCTCACTAGCAGGCACTGATAAGTTCAGATGAAATGCCAAGAGATTCATCCAGCTAACTACGGCAATTCGGGGTCTTCCGAAGCACCAAGCGCAGAACACATGAGCGAATCTTAGGAAAATAGAGCCCATCCTGAGATTTGTCAAAAGGGGGACATCCTGGTGCCGAGGCTGCCAGTCCCTCCTTCGGGAGGACCAGAGACGTGCCCATCACTGTTGCTACCGGCTATCGCTGCAGGTCTTCCTGGGCCTTCTGCCAGCCTGTTTGTGGGAGTCCCTGTGATTCCAACCCCCGTTTCCTGCTCTTACTCTCACACATTTGTTTCTCAGTTGTTGTGATGATAAGGCAGTTTCTCTTCCCACACTTATCTTTTCCACGATATATCTGTGCTTTGTGTCGCCTTTTGTGTAGTGCCACCAATGCATGTCAAGAACCTAGGTTTTCATGGTCCCTGTGACACTGACATGCTGTTGTGTGTGGCTGCCGCCTAGGCGGCCCGTGTTGTACAGATCCCATCGGATTGCACCACGCCGTATCGCTCAGCAGCACTTGGAGGTGGTCCAGGGGAGAGACCAAAAGGCAGGAGAGATTTCAAAAACTTGACTTCATCACCTCAGTAGCCTTGCTGCCAATCATCTCAAGCCAAAGAAAGGAGAGGAAATATATAAATTTCAAAACCTAAGTAAATATCCATCGGAGATGAGCATGCCTCTCTGGAGACACCAATCAGAGAAAACAGAGGGAGGCCTTGGCCAATCAGAATCAGCACTTTCAAAACCTCTATGCATCCAGGCTAGCTGCAGACACAGAAGCCTCCAGGAGATAAAAATCTAGTGAGTACGTCTGTGTGTATGTGGGCAGGGAGGCACTACAAATTTCACTGTGCTTCGTACGCAGTATGTAAAAAGAACTGTGCTAAGCATTTCCAAAAATCCTAGGAGATGAATATTCAAGGAGCTTAATAGTATTCTCATTCCTAAATGAAAAAAAACAACAAAACAAAACTGGAGCTCTGAGACACTAACGTGCCTAGGATCACGCAGCTTATAGGTGGAAGACTGGGACACAGACTGAATACGACTGCCCCTTCTCGTTATCACACAGCCATTGCAGGCCTGACGATAAGCCTACACACTCAAGAGGAGCTTAGGGGCAAACAATTACACCGTGCTCAGTCTCTTCGATGCAAACGCAACAGAACACTGTGTTTGGCTGGAAGTGCCTATAAGGAGGATGTCCACCTCCTTAAAGAAAAGACACAAGCCCAGAACCTGAAAGGAAAGAAGGAAAGCTGAAAGAGAAAGAAAGCACACTCTGGAACCTGGCTGTTCTTAGCAGCAGCAAGTGACTGTCCTGATAGCAGGTGCACTGAGACCCACACACCAGAATATCCAGGCCAGCAACTCACTGGCCCATAGAAAGCCCCATTTCACACACCACCTATTCACAGGTATTCCATGCCAAACTGAGAAAAATGCTGATCTCTTCTGTGTACATGTTTCCCAGAAGTTATAGGGTCTCTATCTACAGCCCACACTCACTGAAAGGACACATAAAAGGTTTTATGTCAAAACTGTAGCTGATACGGAATTATGTAATTTTTTCCCCCAGAAGAATGGCCTAGAAAGCATATCACAGCTGATGAAAAACATTATTTTTTGGTTATTTTTTAATTAAAATTTGTAAAATATGCAGTCATATCCTACCAGTATTTTACTATTAGAGACTTCGTTTCTGAGCACAGTTTATCCTCAGATCAATACAATTTCAATACCAGAATATTTTAAGTACTTGCATCTTGGCAAATGCCAGGGATAAACCATTACCAGTCTCTGCTGCAGTGAGGCCCATCCATCAGCACTGCAGGCTCCCATCAAAGACGATGGTTGGTAATTAGAAACTCCACTGTCATGGCACTTAGAGCAAGGTCTCATGTTCACCCATTACCCCCAGAATGGATAGGAATGCATTTACCAACAAAGAAGTGGTTGAAAACTTATTTTGTAATCATTTTTATAACTTGAATTTAAAAAAAAAAAAAGTTCAGAACCATCAACTGTTTAACATATTACAAAGTCATCTTATTTTTGGTCAATTATATGGTTTATCCTAAGAGAATGGTTATTTTTTACTCTTTCTCTCTCTCTCTCTCTCTCCTTTCTTCTTCTTTTTTTAACTTTATTCTCTCTTACTGCTACTTTACTGATTTTGTGTTGGTGTCCAATGTTACTTAACAAAATGTAAAAAATTAAAAGAGATTTCATGAAAAATCTTGTGCATTTGGCAAGCCTCCCAAAATAAAAAGCCTTCAACCTTTTTTCAAACACTCAAAAGCAGGAGTGCTTAATATTCGTTGTGTTTAAGAGCCTGTTCTAAGCCAAATGCCATGGAAAACTTGGCCATAACTATAATCTGTTATCAGATTCCCCCAGGCCACTTTTTATTAAGATATGAAGAATAAATTGAATGTGACAAGGAGATAGGGTCTATTTTATTAGTGCTATAGAAACCATAGGTCATGTTTTAACTATTGCTGACAAGTCAAAGGAACCTGATTGAAACAGTGAGGATGAACCTCCAGAGAAACCCAATCTGACACAGAGAAACTAACTGTGCCCTAACTCATCTTGCAGAAAGACAGCAGTAGATGATATTCCTCCTGTTACAGGAAAGAGGCAAATAATCAGAAAGCCAGCAATATCGGCTATTTTAAGAGCAGATGTGCTCTGTTTCCTTTTCTGTGTCTCTCATTACCAGCCTGAAAACACATGACCAAAACTGAGGCTCATATCTTTATCCTAGTTACCACTATAAATAAGTCAGACTATTTAATTAATTAAATTTTATTCAATAATATATGCTCGGTGCATTGTGCTTAAAAAGGCCAAGAAGCATGCGGCTCAATTCAGAATTATTCCCTTTTCTTAAATGGTGACAGTTCTAAAATAATTTAAATACTGAAATTTATTTATTCATTTGCTCTGTTGCTTGGCACTGTGTGAGGCATGAAATGGGGGAAGAAGCAAAGCCGACATGTTCTTGAACTAACTGGCTAGTAGAAGAAATGGACAGATATAAAATAGAGCAAGCTCAAATGCGCTAAAATGAACCTATAAGGAAACAGGATTTCAGCAGAAAGGACAATTAACAATTAAGAGGTTTCTGTTAGTGAGAAAATCCAGCAACTTAAAAGACTTCCCAACAGCAAAAATAACACCTTCCCTTTTTCGAATCAATAAAGTGTCCACACAAGTATCACAGGATATGGCAAAGTCTTCTATTTAAATTTGTTTGTGAAGCTACATTTTTATTGGAAGTCATAAACTGTTGAGTGACATCATTTCTGGGAACTTATCCTTAGGAAATTTTTTTCAAGAAGTAAAAGGATACATGTGAAAAACATTCAACACATTTTCATGTAATTGAAAAAAAGAGAGAGAAACAATATAGGATGATGAAATTTATTATGGTTTATCTCCCTAAAAAATGAAATATGAAGACTATAGATTATAATAAGGAAAAGTGTTTCTGACAAATAAACTTTTTAAAAGATTTATTTATTTATTTGAGAGAGTGAGAGCACTCATGTGCAAGGAAGGGGCAGAGGGAGAGGGAGAGAGAATCCTAAGAAGACTCCACAATGAGTGCGGAGCCTGAAGCAGGGCTCGACCTCATGACCCCAAGATCACGACCTGAGCCAAAACCAAGAGTCAGATGCTCAACCGACTATACCACCCAGATGCCCCTTGACAAATGAATTTTTAAAGGCAGGTATCAAAGCTGTAGGGACACTATAATTGTCCCTAAATTACAGAAGGGTAGATGAAACCTAACAATGGATAGGGAGGCAGTGAAGAAATAAATGTAGATATAAACATAGAAAATGTAGAAATAAAAATAGTCATTAAGATGTTAGGAAAATGTTTCTACCACCCCTCCATTTTAAAATTTCATTTTATAATTTAAAAAAAAAAATTTTTTTTTTTTTTTTGAGAAAGAGAAAGAGAGCACGTGAGCAAGGGAAGAGGGGCAGAGGGAGAGGGAGAATCCTAAGCAGGCTCCATGCTCAGCACAGAGCCTGATGCAGAGCTCCATCTCACAACGCTGAGATCATGACCTGAGCTGAAATCAAGAATTGGACTTCACCGACTGAGCCACCCAGGCACCCCCATTTTATGATGTTTTAATATTTCAGCAACAAATACATCATTTTCAAAGCCGTATTCTAATGTACCTTGTCTTTGTATCTCAGCCCCAAGAAGAAGGCGGAACCATGAGAAGCAATATAATACCATGAATGTGCTGGTTTTTAAGATAAAGGTCATTGGATAAAAAGAGGTGCTATGGAACAGGTCCAAGGCCTTCTCAGGAGAAAAGGTCTAAGTGGAGACAGAGAGATAGATGCTCATGTGGGAGAAGAGAAACAATTCCCCTCTGCCCATATGGTAAATTAATTTGTGATAACACCTATAACTGGGTAGCCACCAGCGCTCTGCTCTCTGCTACCACCAAGTCACAGGGAAGAGACTCTAAGTTCTAAAGAGCAAGACCTAAAATCCCTCCAGGGAATTACTCCAAAACGAAACAAGGAAGGAAGTGAGAAAACACTTGACGGCTGAGACTTGGAGGTAGCCAGAAACTTGAACTCTAAGACCAGAACAAAGATCCAGGCCGTTAGGGGGAAAGCTATAGAAAATGAGAAGTAAATGCTGACAAAGTACCGTTACTGTTTTATTTTTTTAATGGTTTCTTCTTCTTCTTTCTTTTTTTTTGCATCGTTCTAAATTGTGTATCATTTATTTGTTGGCTGTTCCTACAAACCGAAGCTTATAAGGAAATAAGCTTCAAAACTATGCCAAAAATACAGGTTATGATAATTAGAGCCAATATCAAAACATCTAAATGGACACAGAGATACAAGTTCTATTTCTGATCTTCAACTATACCCATCTCTGACCAAAAAAAAATGTAGACATTCACAGCCTATGTATGTATCTACCACCTTAACAGGATGGCAGTCTAATTCAGGGAAGACATAATGACTGTCTTTAGGAAACCACACAATAATTAACAAATGCTAAGCAGAGGAAAGAGTCAACTTCATTCACTGATTCGTGGACTGATAAGAACTAAATAGTCAATAGGGAATATACTGATATGGGCAGAAGCCAGATGGACAGCCTGTGTACATAGCAAAAGCGTTCATTCATTCATTCACTCACTCATTCATTTATTCATAATGAATCCATCCAACCATCCACCAAATATTTGCCAAGTGCTCTATGTCCCAGGCACTGGAACAGCTTATGAGGAGAAAACACTAAGCCAACCATCACCAACCCTGCCTCCTGGAGCTTACACTCTTGTGGGGGCCTTAAAAAAAAAAACTGTGATAAGTGCTATATGGGCATGAGCATCTTTAAAATGCTTTCCCATTACTAGCATTACTTACAAAGTGTTTTTGCCTAAAGTTTAACCTGAAACTATTAGTGTTTAGATCTAACTTCACATTTACCGGAAATGCAAGAGATAATGGAACAAGTTAACGGACACCATGAGGAAATAATCAGACAAATCCAGAATGTGGGCCATTGGGCTGGTCTCTTTGGAAAATCAATGGGATGGAAGAAAGAGAGCAGGGAATAGGAAATTGGTGGCAGAGAAAGAGAACAATGAAGGCAATATGGGATTCTTGACTGGATCCTGGCTTGGGGGTGGAGGAAACAACTGTAAAATATACTTGAGGGACAACTACAAATTCTGAATAAGGACCAGGTATTATAATTATTGTTATATTATAGGAATTTATTCATTGTTTTAGGTATAATAATAGTATTGTGGTTATAACAAAATTCCCTAATTTTTTAAAGATGCATGCCAAAGAATTTAGGGGTGAAGTGTGGTATTATCTGTAATTTATTTTGAAATGGTTCAGCAAAGATGAATACATGGACAGATGAAAAAAATAATAGGATAAATGAATGGACATAAAGAAATGGGGTATGACAAAATGTTGACAACCATTGGATTTGGGTTGGGGCTCTATGGGAGTTAATGAATTACTTTTTTCTACTTTTCTGTATGGTTGAAATTCTTCCTAAGACAAAGTTTAAAAACTATTACAGATGATGCTTTTATGGAATCTAGCCATAGGCACCGTGGAACATGGCTCGTAGTATCCAGACCCTGCCGCCCCCACCCATCCCATCCTCTCCAGGAAGATGGGGCCTCTCTTGACACCTGATCCCACGCCCTCCCCCCCTTACCTCAATCAGAGCTTCCTTTTCCCTGTCCTCAGCTCGTTTGGCGCTGTCCAATTCATCATGCATTTCTGAGAGCTGGTCCTGGAGATCCCTGATCTCCGTCTGGTGCTGCTCCCGTTCCATCTTTACCTGGAACAGTCTAGCAGGGGAGGAAGCCCATCAGAGAGACTGTGCTAAGCCTTGCATTGTTTCATCCAGTCTGATTTCAAACCTTCAGAGGGTCAAGCAGAGTCCTCTGAAGCCCCAAGGAGCCTCCCATTCTCCGTTCTATACTGAAAAAGGAATCACAAACCAGAAAACGCACTGGTAGGCACTCATGTCTACAGTCTAATTTGTCCAACAAGAAGGAAAGTGAGAACTCAAACCAATGTAATGGGGAAAGTTATGCAGTTTCTCCCCAAAAGGAGACTGTAGAGTACTAGAATTTAGATGATAAGAAACTGACCCAAAAAAGCAGAACCTCTTTGATAATGCTTTCACTAAAGCCACCCCACTCCCGACCCCCACCCCGCCCCCAGCCCCAGAAGAGTCAGCAAATTATGGCCTACTTGGCCAATCTGGCCCACGGCCAATTTTTATAAATAAAGTTTTATCGGAATAGAGCTATGCTCATTCATTTATGTATTACACATGGTCATTTGCACAATACAATGGCAGAACTTAAGGGGTCCAACAAAGACCATATGGCCCATAAACCATAAAGTATTTACTACCTGACAGAAAAAGTTTGCCAACCTCTGCTCTAAATCAAACTCACGATTTTACCTTTTGATTTTGTAAAGTCTTTACTACACCCTAAATTTTGGTTTTTTCTCACCAATTTTTCTAAAACTAACCTCTAGGAATGTTTTTAAAGCAAAAAACTACATCATCAAAATTGCAAAGGCAATCAAATGATTTTATTATATTTTTCTTGAATTTCCTTCTGGATTTCACTCCTGCTTAGACCTTCACTTAAGACCTCCACCACGGCCGCAGAGCTTCATAGCACTGCACGTTTGCAGACTTTGGCTTCAGATCCCTTTTTCACAGATTTTAATGTAATGCAATGGCAGGGCCATCTTGGCTTTGACTTTCCCTCTCTGCAGACTCAACAGAGGCATAAGCACTGGTCAGCAGCATTCAGGATAAAATTCACAAATTGGGAGATTACAGAAGTCATAGGACATGTGCGTTTGGGAGGCTGGGTCCAGGCTCCTTGAAATCTCCGTCTATAGATATCACCACTCAGTATCCCCTGCTTCTCGCTTATCAGCTCTAGGAGCTACTCTCGGGCCTAAAACTTTACAAGGCATCCTTCAAGGTGTACAACGAATTTTGAAATTATGAACCTTTCTGCTTACCAGTCTGCATGTGTCACCAGCTTCTCAATTTTACAAGGAAAGAGGGAGAAAAGGAAGGGTCAGCAGCCCCTCTAAATATTCGGAAGGCTGGGTAGTATTAAACAGACAAAAAGATTCTGGCTACGTCGGATGCAGGAACTAAGGCTCTTGGCCCAGAACTCACTCCTCCAGGTTCTTCCGGAGCTCCCCTTCACTCTCTTCCAGGCGCCGCTGCAGCACGGAATTCTCTTCCACTTTACTGTCGTGCCGGCCCTGGAGCTCTTCCAAGCTTGCTCTCATTCTCTCTCTCTCTTCTTTCATGTTCTGCTGATTCTAAGATGAATACATGTGATTTTCAAGTACCTCCACTGAACGTTAATGCAATCCCACAGAAGACTACCTCAAAACTCTGATGGACTCCATGTCTTTGCACTCATTTATTAAACAACTTAACCTGTATGACTAGGCCTGGGAGTTTGCAACTAGAAAGAATATCAAATACTGAATGAGTTGTAATACTTCTAAGAGAAATACAAAGACAGCTAAACCTCAGTATGCTATTTCTATTACTCAGTTTGGATATTTAATATGCATTTAGTTTCCTACTGGCCTGCCTGAATCCAAGAGTGTTTTACTCTGTCAAAGCAAACGGTGTCTATGGGCTTCGATTACTTTAAAAAAAAATTAAAAATTAAAAAAAAAGTTCTTTGGACAGCAGGAGTCAAATATGCAGGAATTTACTCAGTGATGAGAGGAATGTTTCTTTTGGGGGGAAAAAACTGGCTTTCGCTTCACTTGAGCACCCAGATTTGCTTAAAATATTCTTTGCAAGACAGAAATTTAAAAAGTAACATAAAAGGAAAAATCAGATACCTTGACTTCTAGTTGAAGCTTTCTCTGAAGTTCAGCCACTTCTGTGGTCAACTTGTTTTTCTGTTCCAACAGGTCTCTGACTTCAGGCGAAGAATTAGAAGCCTGTAATTAATTGCAGAGATACCCTAATGTACATGTTCGAGATGCTTTATTTTCTTTCTCCCAAAATGTAATGCAAGCAGTAACATCAAAATCTTAAGACCCAATTCAAATGTAAACCCCTCTAGAGAAAGGGGCACAAAGAAAGCTTCTGGGGGTGATCGGAGTGCTCTGTATCTTGATCAGGGTGGTGTGTGCATGGACACACACCTATATTAAAACTTCAATGAACTAGACAGTTTTACTGTATATAAGTCATACCCCAATAAAACAATGTAAAAAGATAAACAATAAGTATTTGTTGAAGATCCCTCCACTGCCTAAGGTTATAACCAAAGCCCATGTTTCTGTGTTCCCAAGGCCCTTCATACAATCCATCTATTACAGAACTTCCATTGCACTGGGAATCATTGTTCTAGAACCTGAGATTTTCTCGCTCTCTGCATATGCCTGTATACAAGTAGTAAATAAATGTAGTTGGCTGAATTGGCTTTCTTCTTTTAGATGCTACATTTCCATAATGAAGGGAGATATAACAAAGAGGGGTCTGATTAGAGAGTCTATTAGAAAACAGACTCTGATCAGAGTCTGAATATTAATGATCTCATCTTTTTTCTTCCATGGATATAATAACAGGATGATGCTCTCAAAAGGATTTGGCTAAAATCCTTCAGCAAAGTGGTTAGAACACCACAAAAGGGGAGGAAAAGGGATAAAAGCAGGAATTAAAGCTAGAAAAAGCCACGTCTTGGCTCTCACGCGCCTGAATCCAGGTGTGAGTTGTGTGTGATGAACTTGAAATGAGGTACTTCCTCACCTACTCCTGTGAAGTTAACCGAACCCAACCATCAACAAAACACAGGATTTCCTATTTTCTTAGGCAAAATGAGAATAATCCATTATGGAAATCTAAATCCAACCCAATGAGGGAAATTTACATTGTTCTCGCCCAAACGAAAACTCTACCTACTCTGCTATTTCCAGTATGGTCTTTCCTTCTCTCACAGGAAATCACTCAACTCACACCAAAAAGATAAAACTCCAAAGCCTTTGCCCACAGATAATCAGATTCAGAAAATAACAGGGAGAGAACAGGAGTAGAAAAGTCTGGGCAATTAAGCAGTCATGGTGAATGAATTTCTACAAATACCACACTATTCATTCCTGTTCAAATCCCATCGGTGATGGCCCATCACCATCAGCCAAAAATGGAAACTTCTGTGATTTCCCAGGTCCTTTCCATGTGGCACTTCCTCTCCACACCCTGGCTCTCTGCTCCAGCTACACTAAATCACCTCCAGTTCCCTAAACATAGTGAACACATACCTCTTTGTATTTGTTCATGCTGGTCCCTCTACCTAGAACACTCTGCCTTCCCTTCTTCTCCCAGAGACTTCTTTACTCTTTCGAGACACTGTTAGTGTCCCAGATTCCAGAGGGCTTAACCTAACTTCCCTAGTTTGGTCTGGATACCCATAGTCTGTGACCCACAATGACAATCTTAACATCAAGGCCAAAGGATGTGTTCACCCTAAAAATATGCAGATGAGTGAAAAGCAAGAGTCACAGTGATAATTTGGATTTAAGAGTTTTAGCACAAAACCCCTACACCAATTTTAAGAACTATGTAGAGCCCCTTAAGCCTGCCTATAAGCAAGGTGTATAATTTAAAGATTCCCCCATGGGAATAGTGTGTGTGTGTGTGTGTGTGTGTGTGTGTGTGTGTGTGTGTAATCGTTCTACTGGATGCCATAGCAGCAGTCATGGGTTAGCTGAGTGCTGAACAGTAGAGAAAAGAGGAAGCTGATGCCTAAGAACATCCTGTATACCTATGTTTCCAAAGTTACAAAGAAGCTATAGGCAAACTTCCTGTGAACTGTCTCTGGTATACTCTTTCCTTTCCACGCAGAATTCCCCGGGAGGGAAAGAGAAGACACACAAGCTAGAAGTGGGTGCCAATTCAAGGTGGTGCAGGATCGAGGAACAAGCTTTTAGTCGTCCCTCTCAAATGTTGCTTCCCATCAGGGCACAACGTGTGTCTGGCACGTAGCAGATGTTCATCAAACATGAGATGACTCCTTTAACAACCAAAAAAATCTCCACATCCCAACTGGAATTCAGTACAATAAACGAAACAGGCAGTTTTTTTAAAAAGAATTTGGCCCCACTGCACTTCTTCCTTTCTCTTGCACCCATGCTGGTTGGCTTCCCCAGTCTCTACTCCTTATTCTCCTGTTGTTATCCTCTTACTTATTTTCTGAAGTTCTAGAGCTTCCTTCGATACCTTGGATGTGTTAGGGGTCTCCGTCCATGACTCCATTTCATTCTTCCTATTCTTATTTTCTCTCTTTTTTATTTTTAGATTTTATTTATTTATCTGAGAGAGAGAGAGAGAATGAGAGAGAGAACACGAGAGGAGAGAGGGTCAGAGGCAGAAGCAGACTCCCCGCCGAGCAGGGAGCCCGATGCGGGACTCGATCCCGGGACTCCAGGACCACGACCTGAGCCGAAGGCAGTCGCTTAACCAACTGAGCCACCCAGGTGCCCTTATTTTCTCTTTCTGAAGCTCACCACCTTTTTGTTTCATCGTGTTATATGTTATATATTTTTTTAAATAAAATCTCTTAAAAACCTTGCTGAAAAAATGGCAGGTGCACAATAATATTTACAACATGATCTTCCGTCTTAGGTCCTGCTCCCTACTCAGGTAACTTCCCACTTGCTGCAATAACCAAATGTACAGGAATGTACAGGCTGAAGAAAGAGCAATTTGTTTGCCACATTCCAAGTTAAATGCCCTCTGCAGAATACAGAACTCCAATTTACTTGATTATTTCCTTGTGTGCTCCCTGCTGCTCGAGACTTTAAAGTCTGGATTTTCTCAAAGACCAGGTTGACTTTCCGTTTAGTCGCATCATCATTATCGGTGCTTCTGGAAAAGAGGCAGCAGAAAAAACAGTGAGGGGTACAACCATGGGTCCCAGGATACTTTAGGTGCCACAACATACAAACAACAGAGCCACTTAAGAAGATAAACTGCAAGAGGTATGAATTAATTAAGGCTGCAGGCAAAGCCAGTGTGAGAACAAGATGGATGGTGTATTTCTCTTCAAATAAACTGTTCTATGCTAACACTCAATTTGGGACGAGGGGTCCCATTTCCAAGCATGTGAAAGAGATGTACCCACATTCTAAGCCTCGAGAAAACATACAGTGAAAATTCAGTAATTTGTTGTTTGACTCAACTGACTTTACATTCATTCCAGCAAGGAATTTCTTGTGTGTGTGTCTCTCTCACACACAACCCACAGCCACACACTTTACTTGTAAATCTTACGCTAAGAATAATCTACAGTGACTCTAACTGGTTTTTAGCCTGTGTTTAAAAAAATACATCGCCCAAGAGGAGACTGTCAATACCCCAGCTCTTCGTCTACACTTTCACAGGTAATGATCAGATACAGTTTGTTGTGTGTTTGTTTTTTAAAGATTTCATTTATTTACAAGCAAGCGAGAGAGAGAGAGCGAGAGAGAGAGCACAGAGGGAAGGGAGAAGTAGACTCCCCACTGAGTAAGGAGCCCGACACAAGGCTCAATCCCAGGACCCTGAGATCATGACCTGAGGCCAAAGGCAGATGCTTAACCGAACGAGCCACCCAGGTGCCCCCAGATAGAGTTTTACTAACTTCGACCACACCTTCTATCACACATACCTGGCAGTTAGGAAAAAGATTTTAAGTAAGTTTCCTCAAATAGTCACCTCCTATTAAAGTCTGTTTCACCAGTCTCTCGATACATCATGAGCAAAAAAATACAGCAACAACTAGTTCTTAGCTAGAAGAATCTGCTCGGTTACTCCCCACCCCCACCCCCATGCCAAAAAGAGCTCCTCTCTTACATTCTGAACCTATTTTGTCAGCTCTTTAATTGTAAGGTACGATGCAAAAATAGGAAGTGTTTTGATACCAGTGAGTACTTGCCAAGTGACTTGCAGTCACGTCAGGTTGTAAAGCTTTTTTTCCTTTTTAATCCTTTCTGATGAGACAATGGAAACAGAAACTGCGAATTCCTGACCTAATATCTAAGCAAGGACTGAAAACCAGATTACTCAAACTCAACCTCCAAGATAAGTATGTGAAAAGCAGTGCTTTTAAATGACTCATACATGCTTTAAAAATCATGGAAGCAGGGGTTCCTGGCCAATGTCAACTCCAGGGAGGGGAAGAAGTGGTTTTATTTATAACTGCTAATAAGGGGACGATTGATAACTACTATATGCATGAAGAACTCAAGGTGGCAGACTCAAGTCAAAACTGAAGAGTAGACATTCTTCCCACCTTTGAACTTCTTTTTAAACAATAAGGAGTCATTTGAAAAATAGGGGCCCGTGGCTGGCCCAGTCGTAAGAGCATGACTCTTGATCTTGAGGTCGTGAGTTCAAGTCCCACATTGGATGCAGAGATTACTTAAAAAAAATAAATTATATATATAAATTCATTTTCCCCCTGCTCTTCACACCCACCACCCATGATTCAAATACTGTTATGCAAACTTCAGCCATTGACTCCTAAGCCTCAAAGAGTTCGCACAGGGCAGGAAGGGAGGGGAAAACACAAGGTCTCAGAAAAGGAAACTAAGACCCCCCTCCCCCGCCAAGAACAGACAAGATTTTGCTCCTTTAAGGAAAATCACTAACCCCTCTTTGAGGTAATTGTAAAGTATCTGCTTGGCCGTCTCCTCATTGGTTTGTTGAGTAAGCTCTTGCTGGCCTTTCAACAGATCCGGTGTGGCCTGGAACATAAAGCCTGTTATTAGACCATAGGATGAAGTTTCCAGGAAGAAGGCAAAACCCTGATGCAGAAGCTTCCAAACACATTCCTACTTTCCAAAAACAATTCCTCAGGTAAGGATCCTCATTACAACTGGCTCCACCACTTAGTAGCTCTGTAACGTTGGGCAAGTTATTTAACTTTGCCTCACCTCAATTTTCTCACCTGTAAATGAAGATTAATAGTACCTACCTTCATAGGGTTGGTGCAGTCCTAGAATCTATAACAAATAGTGCCTGACACTTACCAACCTTATCATTTTTACCACTATCATTATTTTTTATTGGTACTACCAAACACTAAATATACCACTTAAGTAAATTCCATCACTTTAGGATCCACCTAAATTAAAATTAACCTAATTTTTCAGGCCAGATATTAACCCAGTCACTCAATGTCATGAGAAAAGTCAATATATCTACACAAACCTAAGCACTGAACCTCTGTGTGGCAACAAATTCTGCACACCTTCAGATGTCACACACACACAGAGAAATCAAGCATATAGTGTCTGACAGGTCACTTGACAGACAAGACCACAATGGGATTCTAGTTGTACCTGAGTTAACTTGGAAAACCATACAATTGGCAGTAGGGGAAAACTGACACAAATCAGATATGCAGTTAGTGATTCAAGACAGAGGGTCTGCATTCCTGTAGCCTCCTACAGCTAGCATTACCTGAGCATTACCTCAGGCCCACCTGAACATTACCTGAGTACCAGAAGTAAATGTCTTCACAGAAATCTTCTTGGCACCGGAGTCAGGCGAAGTTGCTAGCGCCCGATTCTGTAACATCAGCGTCGCAGTGGCTGTTTTGATTTCCTCCTCCTTTTTATTCTGTGCTGGGAGGGAAGATGCATGCGTGTTTGTACTCTGCCGACCACCTTTGTTTTCTGGAACTTTCCCATCCTTGCTCTGCTGGGGAGGCCTGAGGTGGGCCCCCTGCAGCTTGGCAAAGGCCCGGCCCACGCTCTGTCTCCCCCGGTGCTCCTGAGCAGGTGACCTCTGTGGGCACACCTGCGACGGGCGGAGGAGGTGTTCGCTGGACTTGCCCAGGTTCCGGCTAAATTCATTTAGGTACTCGGCATTCCCCTGGAGACCAAAAGGAAAGGCACTATCCACGCTTCTGGACCGCTTCCTGTCTTCTGGGTTGATTCTGTTTCGCTTCCCAGACCTTCCTCTCCTCTGGAGCCCGGGTTTTTGGTCAAACTTTTCAATCAATTGATCCACACCAGGAATTGATCCTGTATCAATATCCCGCCCAGTTCCTGGCAAGAAGGGGATATACCGCCTGTTTTCGTGACGATTTACATTGTCAGCATGGATGGCACATTCCTGATCATCAAGTAAAAATCTGTACAAAGAGTTGGCCGAAGTGGGAGTTGCTGATGAGGAAGAGGACCTCCGGGACCGAGCTCCATCCAGGACAGGTCCCGCTGAATCCTGTCGCCGGAAGGGAAGCACATCTGGCCTGGCTTTCTTGGTTTCGGGATGGATGTGTGGGCTGTGGGCCGTCAGGGACCTCCCACTAGGGGAAAGGGCCTCCTCCACAAGCCCCTCCTTGGCACAGCTCTGAACATTTACGCACACTGAGGTCTGCTTCTTGGGGTCATCGATGACCACAGAGCTGCACAAACGAATGGCCGTCATGCTGGATTTGCCCACATCTTCCAAAGGAGGGCTGGTAGGCTGGGAACTACCAGGTTTGGGGAAGCAAGTCCAAGCCTTCTTATTGTTGGAACCTTCTTCTGTTAAAGTGTTTAGCCAATTACTCTCAGGAGGCTGATGATTTTGCAAGTTCAATTCATTCTTTTCAGGGTTGTAGGGCTGCAAAAGCTCTGGATGCCTCTGAAAGTTCAACATGTGGGATGGTTTCACTGGCCCCTCTTTGCATTCTAGAACCCCATTCTTGCCCTCAAAGAGAGAGGACTGTTTCAGGTTTCTTACTGGGCTGGGTTGGGCATAAGGATTTTCTGGGAGCTGCAATTCTTCTGCGCTGCTCTCCTCCAGCACAGACCCATTGCTGGAATGCAGGGCCAGGTTATTTATCATTGGAGATGGAAACGGTGGCCCATTTTCAGGAAAAGATGTGCCTGTCAGACACCGCTCCGTGTTATTCAGGACTATGTAGGGGTGGCCATCAATTCCCTGCACCCGGATACTGACACCATAGGAGCCTGCCTTAGAGTGTTGGGAATTCCTTGATTTTTTGCTATCATCACTTGCGAGTCTCAGATGGACGCCATATTCTTGCTGCACATGTTGATATTCACCGAAATACAGCTCCATGGTTCACTGTTCCCTCTACCAGAGAAAGATGGGGTAAAAAGAGGACATTAGGTTAGAATTACATCTGTTTAAATAAAGATGATGAGGGGAAAGTTCCAAGAAAACAGAACACTTTAACCAGCAAGGACACTTCAACCAAATGCTCATCCAAGCAGACCTTTCTGGATGCCCTCCATTGACCATGGTGTTGTCAACACCGGGCTTGAACCCTGGCCTCTGGGGGGACGACGGGCATAAGAACCTGACACCTTTGGCATAATAACCTCCTTATTCTGTTTCTAGCTGACAGGCCATTCTGGTTGCTTTGTTTTTTCCTTAGTTGGTTTCCTCACACCTTATGCTATTTATTTTTAACCAATAGGATGTTCCAGTTACTAGCATTTGAGAACAAGGTACTTTTCCATGAAACGATTAAGACCGAAGGCACTCTGATGTTCACCATTTTCTCTTTTCTCCTGTACTACTGATCTTCCTGTTGGAAAAGCACTTTCAACCTTTTTTATGCACAATCTTGCTTTGAAATCTATTTATTTGGATATGATGTTCAGAACATTGTTTTAATTTGTTCCTGAGACTGCCAATGAGAGCAAATGATTAAAAATAGTTTTTCATCATTTTTTTCTTACCAAAAAGCTTCCAGTAATACATGGATCTGAAAAATGTTACAAAAAAACTAAAGAATTGGGGCCCCTTATTTTGGGATGTGTCCTAATGCCAAGAATCAGTGCCATCACTTTTCTGGGGCATGGCCACCATTGTCAGAGACAGAACACAGATCGCCAGGCAGGACGCACAACTCACCCCACCCTCTGAGGCCTCCCACCGGAAGTTCACTTCCACCCCTACTAGAGAATCCCAACAGCAAAGAAGCCCCAGGAAGAGCAGTAACAACTGGTCACCCATGACAGCTGTCTCATTTCTTTCACTGCTAGGGGCCTTTTCCAGTTTTCTTTCTATTCCGGAGTCAGTCTAGTAGCACATTTTCCAAGAAAATCATCTATCTGATCTAAATTTTCAAGTTTATTTGCACAGAATTCTACAAAATATAAATCATTTCATCTCCTTTATAATTTCTCACTATCCAGTTGTGTGTATTTGTGCTCCTTCGCCTAATTCTTGACTGATCAAGTAAAATGTGTATCTATACATATTTTTTTAAAAAATAATTGTTCTCCTAAAGAGTAGCTCTCAAGATTTCACAATCATTTCTCTTTTTTAATTTTCTTATTGAGTTCTAGCTTGATCTTTATTATTTCCTTCTGCTCTCCTTTGTTTTCTTCGGTTTCCAATTTCTTGACTTGCATGCTTCATTTATTTATTTTTATTCTTTAATTACATCCCATGAGTTGTGATATCTGACTGTCAGTTAGGAACTGTGTTGGCTCCTATTAACAAAGAGACCCAAAATAGCAACTTTAGAGTTAGGATTTTTTTTCCCCCAGAGGCTGGAAGTCCAAGGCCAGAATGGATGGCAGGATATTTCTGAGGAATACCTCTTTTATCTTTCCACTCATCTACTTTTAGCATGGATTAGACACCCTAGGATTACAAAATGGTTAACCCAGCATCACATATGCCAAAGGTTTATTAGGTCAGCTGAGTCAACCTTTTTAAGGAGCTTTCCTGGAAGTCCCACCCACCACTATTATTTTATATCTATCTCATTGGTGAGAACTTAATCATATGGCCACCCCCATCTACAAGGACGGATTGAGAAACAGGGATGTTTAGCTGGTCATTGACACTCTCAACAAAATCAATGTCCTGTTAACGGTGGGAAGGCAGCCAATAATTTCTACCACAGTAATGTTTCTATCATTATTTCCTACAGAGTCTCAATCTATGGATTTGATTTCTTCTTTGACCCATGAGTTGTTTTCAAGAAAGTCTTCATATCCAGTATGTTTGCTGTTGTGTTGTTTTGGCTTGGAGGGTCCTTATTTCTGTATGTTGTGAATTTCTACATGTACTGTAGTCAAAAAATTAAGTTTCTATTATTCCTTCCCTTTTAAATGTATTGAGGTTTCCTTTGTGGGCAAACGTATGGATAATTTTTGTCAACATTTAAAGGGTAATGGGTGTAGTCTCTTTTTTAAGGCATAGAATTCAAAATATATCCATACAACTTTACTAATTATTTATTCAGCTATAGTACATCCTGACTTATTTTGTCTTTCCAATTTGTCTTGGGTCTGCCTGGATACATCTGTCTCCTACTAGCCTAGTGCTGTCACTTCTGCTTGGTGATTATTCTTCTAAATGTAGAACATGTTAGACATCATCACCCCCAATTTTACAAATGGGAACAACTTAGAGAAGGACATTCATCTGCAAATCCATTATTAACTCACCAACCCCAATGATTTCATGATGCCTCCTTGTATTTTCAGAGTTATCCTAACAGTATTCGGCAATTTCATTTTTAATCGAAGTAAAACAAGATATAATGAAAACTTGGACTCTCCAGCTTCCCTTCTCCACCCGGTCACATTCCCCAGAGGAAACTAATTGCAAATTGTAGCTATTTCTCTGGTACTCACCTCCATGTTGCCCAGTAATATGCCTAGCTGCAATTGCCTAACTTATCAGTTTTACATATGGGAGATGACACACCATACCTGCAAATTTCTCATTCTGTTAGCTTCTCAATAATATTATTTATATTATGATTATACACTATTTATATATTATTTTGATATATATTGTTATGACTATAGAAATATTTATTCATTAAAAAGCCAAACTGTAGACTCTGGCCATCTTCCCTTACAAAACTTTAACTTTTCTAGGGTTAATATCTGATTGCTATTCTCACTTGTCTTCTTTTCAATACACATACCTCTCCTTAAATCCTTTCGTCAGCGACATCACAGGTTAGATGCTTACCAGTACTAATTTCAAAACAACCAAACCATCAGATAATGTGGTGATCTTTTCCCCTGGTGCCCTCCCTTCTGCAGCCTTCCATCCTCCCACCTTATATTAGGGTCTGGTTGCTCTCTTCCTTCTGTGCCATATTGTTTCCTAAGTTTCCTCTTTCTTAGTTTACCCAATTGGTCTGAGGGAGCCCACTTCCAGTAGCTTTTTTTTTTTAAGATTTTATTTATTTATTTGACAGAGAGAGAGAGAAAGAGCGAGCACAAGAAGGGGGAGCGGGAGAGGGAGAAGCAGGCTCCCCACCGAGCACACAGCCCTATGTGGGACTCAATCCCAGGACCTGAGCCAAAGGCAGACGCTTAACTGACTGAGTCACCCAGGCGCCCTCCGGTAGCTTTTTAAGAGGTCCAAGGGAGTAAACTTTTTGAGTCCTTGTGTTTTGAAAAATGTCTTTATTCTATGCTTACTTTTGATTGATAGTCTAGCTGGATTTAAAATCCAGGTTAGAACTAATTTTCCCTCTGATTTTTTAAAGTATTACTCCATTATCTTGCAGCTTCCGGGGATGCCGTTAAGAATTCTTCTATCAAGACATCCTTTCCTCTGTGTGTGCCCTGTGTACTTTCCTCTGACAGTTTTTAGGACCTTTTCTTTGTCCCTACTGTGGCTGAAATTTCACCATGATGTATCTGAGTGAGGGTTTTATAAAACATGGGCACTTAATATACTTCTTCAATTTGGAAATTCATGTCATTAGTGCTATGAAATGTTCTGGTATTATTTCTGTGATAATGTTCAAAGAAGCATTATTTTGGTTTTGGTTTTTGCATCTAAGATATTAGTAATGTTGCATCTTTTAGACTGAGTTTCAATTTTTTGGATTTTTTTCTTCATCTACCTTTCAACTCTGTCCTTTTCATTTTACTTTTTGAGAGCTACATCCTCAACTTCTTTTAAAATTCAAGTATTTAATTTGTAATCCCCATTATCTCCTTCTTGTTCTCTAATCGGTCCTGTTTCATAAATGCTATTCTCATTTTAGACATGAAATAGCTTCTCTCTCTCTCTCTCTCTGAAGATACTGACTATAACTTTTTTCAAAAGAAAATATTTTTTTTCTGCTTTCTGCAGTATCTCCATCTTCTGTAAGGTTTCTCTTTGCTGGTTTGTTTTGGTCCTTTCTTTCCTGTTGAAGCCTTTCCTAAGAGGACTCAGATCCTTGGCTGCCTGATCCTATTTAACAGTAAAGTACTAAAAGCAGATTGGAGCCTCTGCAAGTGGGAAGAGGAGTTATTAGCTGACGAGCTTCAAGGAATGGGGGTGTACCAAGATTTCCAATGAGGGGCACGCACATTTCAGTATCTGGGGCCTTTTTTTCTGGATTGGTTTGATTTCTCAAGGAAAGAATCTTCCAATCCATTGCTGGGGCTGCACAAGCCTGGCTGCTGGCATTATGGGACAGGGCAGGGGAAGGGCATGGAGGTCCCAGCTCTCATTCAATCCCCTGTTTTCAGCCATCCATACCTCCTTCCAAGATTACTCCAGTTCAGTTTCTCCAGGGAACAGACCTCCAGTCTGCTGATTGACCTCCTCCAGTAGGGAGGGGAACAGAGGCAGATGGGTGTCTAGATACCAGGGTGTAGAGAGGGCCCTGGAGGGCTAGCTGTTCAAGGCACTCACATAATTCCCTAGGTTTCAGTCCCTCATCCCCGCCTCCTACGGCAACCAACCGATGCCTTCCATCTTTGAGCCTCCCAGTGGCTCTGCAGGGAAGTCACCTCGTTTCTCCACCACCACCAAATCAATGGTCTCTCTTCCATTTGTGAGCAAGCTCTCCTCCACGAGACTGGACATTCTTTGTCTTCGTAGCTTGAAACATTTTTGCGCCTTTACTATCTTTTCAGTGGGATTTTGAAAAGGGATAAATCCCCTGCTTGTAAACTGATCTAGCTTGACAAGGCTAATAATATTTATAAAATACTTCAGTACTAGACTAAGAACAGCAAGCATGTCTTAGACGGAGGAAGCAATGCACAGAGGCCAAGACCAGAATGCCTGGGTGTGTCCCAATCCTGTGTGGAGCAACACTGGCTTGTGTTATTCTGGATCTCTGGAAGTGTTTGCACTCGTTAAAGTTTA